GGCAACTTTGCTGTGAGCACAAAAGAATGGTCAGTTTTCGAGCACAAAAAAGGACCAGGGACCAAGGAATTTTAAAGAATTGAACAACTTTTTGGGAACTATTGTTTCTCAACTTTACTCCAATCGTCCAAGCAGCCTTTTGCCATCATCCAAGGACACCGCATCTCACCTAACTTATATGCTTGGAGACGAATTATTGGAAAGCTCAACTGAAAAAACTTCACATCTTCTACAGGCACAACAACGTTTGCGACAAGGCATTGTGACCCTTCTTACCTGTTTGCTTCGTGAGAGGAAGGTTCGATGGGCAATGCAAGAAAAAGAACTTAGATCCTTAATTTCCGACCACTTATGTCTGGACTCAAAGACGAGTTATGGTGTTTTTACTGAAAACTACGTGGTTCGTGAACTTTTTTCCCGTGGGGTTATTATTGCTCTTCCTAACGCCATTATTGAACCCAAGTATTTGCCACGTCTCGGTGATTCTAAACCGCTTCCACACGATGGAGTTGTCGTATTGGATCCGAACAACCTACTTGTGAATTACTCGTTATTCATGTGCCCAAACTCTCTAACAAGGGTGCCAAATGGAACGCCTTTCCTCAAAGATCGCGAAGTTATGTTCTTTGATTACTCTGCGTTAAGCCGTTGCCAGACCACATGGGGTCAGGGTATCGTGACAGGTGATGTTACTCAGATCGTCAACGCAAAGTTGCTGCCACAGGTGGGTAATGACTTAAAAACTGTACAAGAGTTATTTTGTGTCATGGGCTTGGGATTGCCTCTGGGAGCCGAAGTTGCCGTGATTTCCCCATCTCATTTCTCGGTGCGCATGTCTGATTGTTTGATTTACTATCTATCGTACATGATCTCTTGCAATGGAGACGGTGTTGCAAGACAATATAAACTCAATGCAAATCCACCGACTCTTTTTTCGTCTCTCCAAACGAGGCTGGTTCCCTTTTCACATTTACCTTCGAAGGATCCACGACACTTGGTTATGAACTGGGTAGACGCGTCCTTTTTGGTATTCGGGAAAAGCCGTTTGAAGTATGGTGCTTTTGGTTCCAAAGGAGTGAGGGATGCTACGACAAAAACAGATATTCCTCTTCGCGGCATTATGAAACAAGAAGGTCAATACCTGTACATTTGTATAACTGGGCGCCACACCAATAGCGAGGAGGCGATTGCTGCATCTGCCGCAGTTATGGATGCTGTGCACTACGAGTTAACTTCTCTGTGCAAGCGGAATTTCCGTGGTGTGAGGGTAAAATATCAGGAGGTTTTGCTTACTGGAGCCTCTTTAAAGAGAGAAAGCTTTGTGACTGGGCAGGCAACCATTTTGGGTCGCTACAGAGCTGAACCCAAGGTCATTGCGGCGCAGAAGCAGATCACACAAAATCTCAGTGATCCGAAGGCAAATGAGATTGAGGATGCCATAATTAACTTGCCTTTAAAGCTGAGAGAAAAAGTGGAATGAGTGAAAAGCAATGAATTGAGGGAAGTCTTCTTTTTAGTTATTATCGTTTATGCGTTGAAGGAAGGAATAAACGTCTCAAAAACTCGTTTTAAATGCAGAAACACTTATCGCAAACATATTTTAAGCCTTATCGTGACAAATATTTTTTCCTAAGTTTTTTTATTTCTGTATGATGCCTCTATTTTGAAATATATATATATATATATATATATATTTGGGAACGGGGAGTGGGGAGTGGGGGTCTTTTTTCTTATAAAGGTACATGGTGTATTTATGCTTCTACCGCCTCACCAAGCTGCTTCCATGGTGCGTGTGCGTGTGCGTATGTGTCTATGGGAAGCCGTTTTTAGAATTAGAAGCTGAACCATAGGAGGATGTATGTTCCATCTTTTTTCCTTATTGTTTTGTTGTCTTTCCACCCCTGGTTTTTGGGAGGCAAAAAAATCTGGAAATGGATGCTTGGGAGGGCATTTTGTTTTCACTGTTATCGCCAATTTTATTTATTTATTTTCGATTTGGTGGATTGCAACAAATTTGAGAAAAAACAGCGACGACATCAACAACAGAAAGAATATTGGTGTTTTCCTTTTATTTTTATTTAAACGACTTGCTGGAGGGAAGGTGAATGAGAATACACAGAGAAGAAGCATGCTTCGCCGTTGTTGTCCTGCCACACTTCATATGGCGCCAAGCACCGCAATGGTAGCTGGTGTTTTTGTCAACAACCAGAAGCGCTTTTTAAAAATGGCAAAGTCCGCGTTTGGCTTCTATTTGGCCCGCCGCGGGCAGCGGAAGTTTCCCTTTCTTCGCCGGCCACACATCAAAAATACTCACGCGATGAACTTAAGCGCGCCGTACTTTTGGAGCTTTATGACGGCAAAGAGTCAGACATATTTTTTACCAGAGGAGAACTACATAACAGGCGACTGGACTGGAAAGTTTTTCGTATCGAAACTGCAAGTGTACACCTTGCAGCACGCCACAAGCGGGTCAACGGTGAGGGTAAAGTCCTTTCCCTCTGTGTTTGAGCTTAGTAGTCCATCAAGGTGGAACATAGGGAAGGAGTTGAACACACTAACAAAACCTCGCATGGACCTTATCGACGAGCAGATGTTAACAAAGAAACAAAGATTGGACTACGTCAAGGCAGGGCTGCTTCCCAAATGAAAGCGTCTTTTGCACTCTTATCAATGTGTATGTATGCGTCCGAGATAATCCAAGTCACATTCTGTCTGTTTCCAAATTTTTTTTTTCTCTCACAAACACTCAGTGTTTTGCTGTTTTTTTTTTCTTTTTTCTTTTCTCTTTTTTTAGTGTATAAACTTTTTCCACAGCTAGGGCGGGTGATGGTAATTTATTCTGGTCGCAAGGCACTGAACAGTAGGGTGACGGATCTCGAACAAAAAGTATGTACCGAGACGGCCAAGCGCCAAGCAGCCGAAAAAGAGCTCTTGCAATACCGTTCCCAGCAGTCACCAGTTTTACTCAACAAGTCGGAGACAATGCAAAAAATGCTTAGCGAGATTGAGCAGGTTAAGGAAGAAAAGAGAAATATTCTGGAATGGCTAGAGCGTGGAGTTTTGGAGGCTGAGCGTGTATCGAAGCAGTTATCGCAAATTTCTGAAGCTATTCATCGTACTGAATTGTTTGAAAGCGATGTCAACCAAACTCTGCAGAAGATGAACAACCACCATAATGAACTTCAACAGATACTTCACGGGATGAATATGCAAATTGGATTGATGCAGCAGGATATTGAAATAAAGGAAAGAAACGATAGCATACAAATAGCGTCGAACGGTTCCAACAAGGCGGAGTGTGATCCATTTTTTGAGGAGTACTTGATTATCACGAAGAAAGTGGAGAATTTGAAGGACAAGTGCGCACTACTCGAGAAAGCAGAAGAAACTATGGAGTGCCTTGCTGCATGTTCTCGTCTTTCGCTTCACGAACTTGGAAAAATTAGTGTTGCCGTGAACAGCAATAGTGTGTGGGAAGATTTAGAGAAGACAAATAATGACAGTGACTCCTTTGATTCGAAAAGCGGTGAAGCCGAAACAAATCGCCCACAAGTTTTTTTCCCTTCCGCAAAGGTGGCAATTGACCGCTGTGACTCGTGTCTTTGTACAATTTGGTCTGGCTTGAGTCGCTTTGGTTTTGACCAGGTGCATCTTCGACGCCAACGAGATATCCAGTTTCAGGAGGCGTGCATGGCAGTAGAAAGGGATTCGAAGAAAACTGTTGAAAACTGCGCTGGAAGCCTCCAGGAATTGCGCGATGAGCTTGAGGCGTGGAAAAACAAGCAGCGTCTATTTGAGCGTCTGGTGTGCGAGGCGGAGTCGGCATATCAAAGCGATTTGAGTGCAAATCCTTTAAAGAGGGAGGATAATGATGAGGTTCACGATAAGGGTTTTGAGGATAGAGTGGAATCCACGGGGGATTTTTCCGACAATGCGAAGCGGAATGCCTTATCTTTGGGACGTGAACACTTTCAACTGAAAAAGACTAACGATAAATTGAAGAGGCAGTTGGACGTTTCCATGGGTGACTACAATTCTGTAAAGGAATTAAAGCATGCCTATCGTGACCTTGAAGTAAGGAAAAATGAACTTGCTTCTGTGAATGAAAAGCTGCGGGTGATTAACCGCTGGATGAAACAATGCGCATGGGAAGTCGACAAGGATGTACCGATGGAGTTTCAAGGAAGGGCAGCTTGAAGCGCTTTGCTTTTTTTTTCTACATTATCGATTTTTTTTTTTCCTTTTGAGATAGAGTGTGGGCACGTTTTGCTTCGCACTTTTTTACGTGGTGCCCCATTTTTGTGGAAGTCACAGGAAGTTGATGGCGTGGCCTTCTCATTTGAACTTGTTGGGGTCACTATTTCCTCTTTCTTACGCTGTTTTTTTTTTTTTTGCATGTGTCCAGTGCATGCGCAGGTTACTTCCCTGGAGGCTGTTTTTTGCGGGCGTTGCCCAGCGCTTCAATAGTGATTCCCTCCTCCATGATATCTTCTCCGAGCTGGACGCGTGCGACATAACGCAACGAAATAATCAGTTGAAAATGGAGACATCGACATCCTCGAAAAAAATGAATGGCGGCGGTACGACGGCCACTCCAGTAGAAACTGCCACTGCAGAAGAAGCCGATATTCTTGCAGAGCTTTCCAAGCAACAACACCTTCAACGGCTAGTACAGGAGGCCAGAGATCAGGCCGCGTTGTCCCAGGCGGAGGAAGCGAAGAAAGGAGAGGTGCGGCGCCATGCCCGCTATGTTGTCTCACCTCCTGCGGCACTACATCTTTCCAGTGCGGAGTTGATACAGGAGAAATCTCCACAGCACTTCACCCCCGCGGGGGATTCGTCAAGAAGGCTTTCTGCACTTCCCCAATTGAACTCTCCTGGGACCGTTGCAGTAGTAACCTTGGTTGGAAAAGTTCTCTCGGTGGCACAAATGCACGGCGGAGAGGGTTCTATCGAAGAGAATAGTGTCACCGCTGTCGATGAAAATGGACCACATGCTCGTTTTTTGGTGCAGTACAATGTGCCCTTTTTGCCTTCATCAAGGCCAGTTACTGTACAGGTGCGCTGTTATGGGGCCACACTGGCGTCCTTTGCCAAAAGATACATCAAATTGGGCGATTTGGTACATGTTCTGGGGCATGTGCTACCCCTTGATTCGAGTTCCGCTGACGGCCCCTCTTTTTGCGTATGTGCACTTCCCGTTGGGGGTAATATCTCTGTTGTACTGTCGGCGGAGCATGTGACAGCTCCTTGAGTCCATAATGGAAGTGAAGACACGTTGGATTTTGCGTCATGACAGAATGTGTGTGTGTGAGACTCTGTTTCTTCTTTTCCATTATTTACCACCATCCCTTCATTCTATTATTTCAATGCGTTTTTCTTTGCTTTTTTTTTTGATTTTGCTGCATGGATTACCGCCACAACACATAGAGTGGAAAATAATAATACTAATAATAATTCTACAGCATTACAACAAATTCAAAAACAGCAAACCAAAAGAAAAACTATGACGAAGAAAGTGCTTGTTCCTGCGGCCGATGGCACAGAGGAAATTGAGCTGACCTGCATTACCGACATCTTGCGCCGAGCGGAAATTCAGGTGACCGTGGCTTCCGTCATGGAGAGTCAAAACCTTATTCTGTCCAGGGGGCTGAAAATAACCACCGACTCGCTCCTGAAAGACGAGTCGGCCGCTGCGTACGACGGTGTGTTCCTACCTGGTGGACTCCCAGGGGCTGATCATCTTGGCAAAAATGCGCATCTCAAGAAAATTTTGGAGGAAATGCGTTCACAGGGGAAATGGTATGGTGCCATTTGTGCCTCCCCCGTTTCGGCCTTGGCCCCAATGGGGATGCTGGAGGGTGTGAAGACGGTTACTTGCTACCCTGCGATGAAGGAAAAGATTCCCTCACATGTGCATTGGTCCACAGATCCCGTGGTTCGGTGCGGAAAGTGTTTGACAAGCAAGGGGCCAGGCACGGCTATTGCATTTGGACTTGCTATTGTTGCCGCCCTTCTGACAAAGGATTGTGCTCTAAGGCTGGCGAAGGAATTGCTTGTTGATGAGACGCCGTTTGTTGAAAAAGCACTTAGTAATTTCTGAGAGGCGACCGTGAGAGTGTTTTTTTTCTTTTTTTTTTTTCGTATTTTTAATGATGATTCCAGCAGTGGTAGGAAATCCTCATCAACAAGAAGATGAAGTAAAAAAAAAAAAACAAAAAAAAACTTGGTTATGTTCGAGGTGGGATTTTTACGAGGAGCATCAAAAGTAAAAAAGAATAAAATGAGGGGGATGGGTCATTTAAAGGATTTCTCAAGGATGTTCCGCGGTCGAACTTTTCAGTGTGCGTGACTGGGATGACGGGAATGTTTTTCATTTTTTGCTTGTTGTGTATAGATGTGCCCCTTTCTTTCTATTCCTTTTCCATTTTTTTAATTTTAATTTTTGTTTTTGTTTTCTTCTGTTCATTGGTAGGCATGCAGCGTTGTCGTGTCTTTTTTTTTACGTACATTGGATCGCCCGCTCGATTCCGTGGATCAGGCAATGAGATATCAGCTAGCTTCGTTTTGACTCGCACGGTTGACGGTGGGCCAATGAAAATACATTGCATCCCAGGGTATATCTCGGCCCTATACCTTGTCGAGTACCCAGAGCAGGGGAAGTTACTCCTTCTTGACAGTGGGTTTCCCAGTGATTTGGAACGCGTTCGATTTTACGTGGAAGAGGTGATGGCCGCCGGGAAGTTCAAAAAGCAGCGGATCTCAGAGAGGCTGCGTTTGGTTGTATCTACACATTCCCACATTGATCATGCAGGGGCATCTAAAGGGTATGAGCGCTGTGGCATTCCGGTTGCATGCCCAAGTGGGATGGAGAAGTGCTATCGTGGCGTGAAGGGGCGGATTGCGCAAATTTATGAGGCTCATTTATCTCAACTTGTGGCTGCTCGATTGGGTCGTAAAGTACGTGAGGGCTCTTTTTTGTTTTCCAAGGGATTGTTGGGCCCATATTGGCAAATGCCTGTGGGGGCGTTACGCTTGGACGATGGAACCCCTCTTCCACTGGGATTCCACGATTGGGTGGCGATCAAGTGTCCTGGTCACACGTCTCATATGGTGTGTCTTTATCATTCCTACTCGCGTATTTTTTATGTAAGCGATATGTTTGTGGCGATTAAGAAGGGATTCTTTCCGCCTCTCCCTGTTGACTTTGACTGGGCTTATACTAGGACTCTTCATCGTCTGCGGGGCTTACCTACGCGTTGTGCTTTGTTGCCACACGGGGGAATCATAGACGTTGGAGATCGATGTGGTTCATGGAACGCGCTAATTGACGAAATTGTGCTTCATTATGAATTGGAGGCCAAGCGCAATTCTAGGTTTGAACGGGCAAGGTGTCTCATAGCGGCGGGCAGTCACCTTCTCCAAGGCGAACACCTATTACCCGACGTATTTCCCCGCGGGCCTCTTCCAGTCCCTCCAGAGGGGCATGAACCGCCTCATTTGCACATTATGGATTCATGATTTTTGCCTTTTTTTTAAAATCTTTTTTTCTACTTTGTTGTATGTTGCTGTTTGGGTGGATTGGGTGGTTTAACTGCGCGTGCTTGCAGCGCCCTTTGTTACTCTCTTCTTGACATTTACCAAACCCTTTTTTTTCCACTCCTTCTACCCTTTTTTTCTGTCTCTGTTGCCTTCACTGTTTTGAAATCACATGTGCACACACACACACACACACACACACACACACACACACACACACACGAAAGGTTTGAAAACAAAAAACACATTAGTACGTCAACATTCAAATTCCTATTTCCTCTTAGGGCCGTTTCTGAGCAGCATTAACGGCGGCAACAGGTGCAAAAGAGACGAACACACGGAAAGAAGAAAAGGTAAAAAGGAAATAAGAACAAGCAAACAACAACCACCGCAATAATACCAATAAAAACAAAAAAAACACACACAAAAAAAAACGAAAAACAAGGCGGGAATCACTGAGAAAAACGCGAACGCTCAACAATTAAAAATAATAAAAAAACAAAAAACCATATGGACAATCTTTTTATTCAAATCATTTCCGGTACCCCGCGGCAGAAGCACGACCCTGTCTCCGCCAGCTCGCCAGAGTACACCATCCTGTGCGCCCAAGCACCAACAGCGGAGGACCGTATTGCTTTGCTTATGAAGCGTTTTCCCACTTCCACCGAGGCGAGTTCGGCCCAAACGATGTGCTACCTCTTGCAGACGTGTGTCTCCGCCTCCGTATCACCCGATGAGACCGAGCACATGGTTGAGGCCTTAGTAGAATTTGCCAATCATCACCCAACTTGGATTGAAACCGTTTGTTGGATTTGTGCTCTTATACATTATTACTGCACAGATGAAGTCACTGTTTCTATTTTTTCTGAGTGTGGTGCGCCCTCTGTGGCCGTTCGGGCGTTAAAAGATAACATACAAAACAACCAACTTGTGTTGGCCGCATGTGCATTATTATCCCATTTTAATTTGTATCCTATAGGCGATGGAATATCCCAACTTGCTCGTGCTCTTCAAGCACACCATTCAGATTTGCTTGTTTGTAAAATGGCTTGTCGGGCTCTTGCAGAGTTTACATCATATGTAATGGAATGTCCTGATAGTTTTGTTTCCTCTAATAAGGAGTTTCTTGAGGCCAATGGAGTTGAAGTCCTTGAAAAGGTTTTGCGGGAACACATTGGGGATGAGGAAACTACAAGGTATGTTGCTCGAATCGCCGCAAATGTGACCAGTTCAGGTATTCCAAGTTCTTTGGAATCCGATTCAAAGGTTATTTCGTATCTTGCAGAGGCAATGGGACGATACGCGGACTCGGATCTTTTATGCAGCCATGCTTTACATGTTTTTAGTAACTTCCCTAATTCTCCGTATATTGAATGGGATGCTGTTGCAACGCTGTTTAAAGCCACGGAGTCAGAGGCAACAATTTTGGAGGCGTTTCATTTCCTTTGCAGCGTTGCGATGAATGTCAAGACACAAAAGCAGTTGATTTATTCTACAGGTTGTCTAAATCGCGTATTAGAACTAATGCGTAAATATGAATCCAGTGGAGCTATTCAAGAAAATGCCTGCAGTTTGATTTCGTATCTTTCTTTTGACTCTGAGACGATAACGTCAAAAATAACGGAGTCCGACGGGATTCTTTTGGTGCTTAAGGCCATGCAAAATTTTCCTGATAATGAAGACCTGCTTGTTTCCGCGTGTGCTGCGCTCAGCGGCCTGACTTTTAATAATCTTCAGGGCCAGCAGGTCATTATTCAAGAGAATGGAGTGGCACGTATTTTGGATGCTATGCGTTCCGGAAAGAGTGCACGGGTGCAAGAAAACGCAGCTCTGGCCATTGGGACGATGTGCTGGAACAGTGATTTAAAGGCAGACGTCGTTCGGTTGAATGGGGTGGAGTTGATTATGAAGGCCCTCGAGGAACACTATACAAGTCCTGGTCTTGTGAAAAACACATGTCGAGCTTTGGCACAGGTTGCCTTTAATTGTGAGAACTACCGCGATGCAATGTGCGAAAGTGGAGTCATTCCATTAATCATTAGGGGTATGGCACAGCACCCATCCTATGATAGAGTACAAATGCACGGTTGCGTGGCACTTTCATACCTTTCCTGGAATAGTGAGGAGAACTCGGCAAATATTGCCCGAAACAAAGGTTACGGTGTGATTATTGATGCCATGAGAAATCACTTGCACAATTACGAGGTACAAGAGCATGCATCGCGTGCGATTGCAAATATTGGCACGGCTCCGTTTGAGGACCTTGATATGGCTCCCGAACAAGTTGTTGCAGCCATGCGACGCCATGAGCACGTGAGTGAAGTGCAGGAAGAAACGTGCCGTGCCATTGTTACTCTTTCGTTGGTTTCGCCAGCATACAAGGACAAACTATTTGAACTAAATGCCGTGGAATGTGTTTTGGCGGCGATGCGAAATTTTCGTGGCAATCAAGTGGTCCAGCAAGAGTCATGTAATGCCTTGGCCCACCTCGCCTACGAACATGCAAAGCTTAATAAGGCTGTAACAGAACAAAATGGCGTGGAATCTCTCCTGATAGCCATGAAAATTTATGTAAATGCTCCAAAAGTACAGTTGAATGCATGCGGCGGCCTAAGTGCATTGGCATTTGACAATGCGGTGGCCCAAAAGCAAATTTATGACCTTGATGGTGTCGCATGTGTCATTCGTGCAATGTCAACTTTTGAGCGTCTACGCATGTTGGAGTTAGGTTGTTCCGTTTTAGGAACCTTGGCATGGAACACTGAAATCAAAGAGAAGGTTGCTGTTGTGGCCATCCCCGAGATTCTGAAGGCCATGCGTGTGCATTATCAAAGTCCATTGTTACAGAAATCTACCTGCCGGGCTATATCCCAGTTTGCTTTCAACTCGGAGAATAACCGTAAGCTCCTGGCAGAGTCTGGTGCTATACCACTGATTGTGAGTGCAATGCGCTCACACATCACCACGGACAAGCTCCTTGTACACGGAATTAAGGCTCTGACGTACCTATGCTGGGAAAATAATCAAGTTGCTGAGGCCATTATCAACGAAGGCATTGAAGAAGTTCTTGAAAAAATTGTTAACTTATATTCCTCATCGCAACGTGTCTATGGGGAGGCCGTTCATCTTTCCAAGATACTTTTTCGCAAGATGTCAAGCAGTCCTCAGGCAAAGATGTGTTCTCCACCATTTTTTTCTCCTGTACCAATGTCGCAAACGCCTGGACCTCGAGTTACCCGAGCTGAGAACACGATGTTTCCTAGCCCTCCCGCGCAGACCGATGAGAATGTTCCACACTTCTACACCGTTCCACAGGAACTAATTCGACAGGAAGGGCGTGCACAGCGCAATCAGTGGAGCAACCAAGAGCACCACGTGAGAGGCGACAGTAAGGGGGATGGTGCGGGCCGTCGACGACGCAATCGTCGCCGTGGGGGCAACAGCAGCTTTGAAAGACGCCCAACTCAGTTGGAAACCCAAGAAGGACAAGGTGCAGACACACATCACGCGGATCCGTACGCTTCAAGAGCACAAGAAATAGATAACTGTGCATCCCGTCCTTTATCCGCTGAGGACTTGTGGGATGATCCGGACCCAAAGACGTACCACGGCAACCGTCGTTTGGGTAATCTTAATTGGCAGCAGGCGGAGTTTGTTCGCCAACAAAACGAAGGAAAGAGGTCTCCTGGTGCGGTGCCGGGACGCGGCGGGGGACGTGGTGGTAGAAGACGTGGGAACCACCGAAAAAATGGTGTTGGAAGAAGACAAGTTGACCAGGAGAAAGATCATTGAGACGTGCTTTTACAGCCTTTCTTTCCCCCCCCCCCCCCCCCCCCTTTTTTTTTTTTTTTTTAAACGCTGCTTTTCCGTGTTTTTATGGGCTTTCGGTGTTTTGTCTGGGCTAAGGAGGAAAAACGGGGAACGCAGACAAGGGGGAAAACATGTAATTTCTCACTTGCGCAAACGCGAAAATAAAGGGTAATGGAGGGAGAGGGAGTGTGTGTGTGTTTGATTGAATGTGAGAGAAGGAAGGACGAAACGTATGCCAAAGAGAAGTACAACAAAATTCGTTTTATATGACTCTTCTCCCCAAACCAAGCCAACCAACTGTCAAAAAAGAAGCGAATTTTGTTTTATTTTGCTTTTCTGTTTAGGCCTGTTTTTTTTCTTTTTTGTTCGTTTTTTCCTCGTATTTCCACCGTCTTTTTTTTTTTTCTCCCGACTTTTTTTTTTTGTCTTTAATTCTTGTTGTTTCTGTATAATATAACTCCAAAGCATTTAAAACACACTTAAGCCCGCAACCATGAACGTCCCGGAATGGGCGAAAAACGAACAATCCATTGATGAAGCGAAGAGTTACTTGCGCCAGGGAAATTCCGTGGATTTCTTTGAGCTGATATCCAGCTCTGTTCTCAGAGAGCACCCTAACAACATAGCAGTCTTCTGCTTAGAGTTGGTGCAGAAGATTGCAGACGGGAAAGAGACCTCAGTGTATGATGAATCCCATAAGAAGAAAGTGGAGGACAATAAATATGTGCGAGAAAAGAACGTCTGTGAATTTCTTAATGAGTGGATTTTGGCATTGCTGAGGGAGCGTCCAACGACAGATGGTGACCGCATCGAGTTTCACAAACGATACCTGCAATCAGTGATAGCTGGCGGAAGCGATCGTAATGGGGGCGCAGTGAGTGAAGGGGAAGAAAAACTGCAAGCTGAGGAAGGTGAAGGCCAGAAGGCAGAGAATCCATGAGAAAGTGTATCAATATTAGATGAAGCTGGCAACCCGTGTGATTCCTGGGTGGGAAAGACACCGTGGTCTTCTGTTCGGGGACAGATAAGAATAGAGGCTTTTTCCGTTGCAGAACTGGACTAGCATAGATTGAGAGGCGGTCGCCTATATGCGTTATGGCTGCATTTTAAACTCTTTTTTCTCTTGGACTATTGAGTAAATACGGCATGTCTTCCTTCCTTGTTTATCTCCTTTTTTTTTCTTTTTGAGGGAGGTGAGGGTCAGGAATCGACAGCACTGTAGAAAAGGTTCAGGACTTGTGAAGTGACACAATGATGCGGCACTGGGTATCGAGAGTGGCATCGTGGGGATGCCGTGGCCCTCAAAGGGCCATTTGTACCACACAATGTGTATTTCAGCGTGGCCAGTGGGGCGGTCAACGTGGTGGCGGCAGACGTGACTACGGTGATCAGGGCAACCGGGGCGATTATGGCGGTCAACGTGGTGGCGGCAGACGTGACTACGGTGATCAGGGCAACCAGGGCGACCATGGCGGTCAACGTGGTGGCGGCAGACGTGACTACGGTGATCAGGGCAACCAGGGCGACCATGGCGGTCAACGTGGTGGCGGCAGACGTGACTACGGTGATCAGGGCAACCGGGGCGATTATGGCGGTCAACGTGGTGGCGGCAGACGTGACTACGGTGATCAGGGCAACCAGGGCGACCATGGCGGTCAACGTGGTGGCGGCAGACGTGACTACGGTGATCAGGGCAACCAGGGCGATTATGGCGGTCAACGTGGTGGCGGCAGACGTGACTACGGTGATCAGGGCAACCAGGGCGATTATGGCGGTCAACGTGGTGGCGGCAGACGTGACTACGGTGATCAGGGCAACCAGGGCGACCATGGCGGTCAACGTGGTGGCGGCAGACGTGACTACGGTGATCAGGGCAACCAGGGCGATTATGGCGGTCAACGTGGTGGCGGCAGACGTGACTACGGTGATCAGGGCAACCAGGGCGATTATGGCGGTCAACGTGGTGGCGGCAGACGTGACTACGGTGATCAGGGCAACCAGGGCGACCATGGCGGTCAACGTGGTGGCGGCAGACGTGACTACGGTGGTCGGGGTGGTCGTGAGAGGCATTCCCGGGGCGGGAATTCAACCCGTGAGGGCCGTAATCGAGGTGAAGGTGGTGCTGAAGAGAGACCCTTGGAAGGACCATTTGATGAGCGGGCGGCTAAGAACCTTTTTGAGTTAAAGCGACAGTACAAACACGCCAAGTCTGGAAGGGATAGACGCGACATTCAACGGGAAGCTCGTCGTGCAATTCGTCGTGCACGCGTTGATCCCTCAACGCAGGACGAAAAGACCGTAACATTGCTTCTCAACTGCGCCGCGACTTTTCACAGTTATCCCCATTCGGAGGGGATCAAACAGGCTATCCAATGGATGCGCCAGAATATTGCAGCTCTTTCCCCACAAAATTTGGCTCTTTTTGCTAATGCACTTGGTACACTTTCGGCGGTAGATAGTGATATCATCTTGTTGCAGGAGGTGACTCCAGCTGTGCAGTCTGTCTTTACGCAGATGAGTCCTGTGGAGTTGGTGATGATATTGCAGGCGTTTCAGCGGAACAAGATATTTTCGAACGCCTCTTTGCAGGAATCCATGCTACGACAATTGTCGTCTTGTGTTCACAGATGCCCGCAACACAACTCTCTACGCTGGCCGGGGTTTTGGTGAGCTCCCCTCTCCGCAAGAGCGATGAGACCACGTGGCAAGAGTTGACCAATGCCGTTTATCCAAGGCTGTTTCTGGTGTTGATAATATGCACTCTCGCGAAGTCATCACATTACTGAAGGCCGCACCACACCTGTTTGTCCCTGAGGAGCCGAGTCTCCAACTCATTCAGCGTGCAATAGACACGGTAGGTTTCCATACAGACGAGCAAGTTGGGGAGATTCTGGAATCTGTGGCGGGGTATCGTAATCTGGAGAAGCCGCCTGGGGAAAACCTCAGTCGTAAACTTGATGAATTGGTTAACGTGCTTTGGACGCGCCTACAAAAGGTGGCTCCACATGTCGACGCTTCAAGTGCGACATGGATCATGCACCAGTCTTGCCGCTGCGGAGTGGACGTGCCACCTTCTATTATGGAGGCTATGTTGGAAGCGGTGACCAAAGACATGCGTTACCACCGCTACACATTCCGTCGGTGTGCGGCGTTGGCCGAGGCTTTGGCGGAGCAAAAGGCCCCAGCAAAGGCGCTTTTGCTGTTGCTTGGTGATTACTGCATTGGTAGGCGGCCTCCACGTGAGGATCGGGAGGAGGCCGACCTGCCCGATGAAGAGGAAGTAACAAAGGAGACCAGAATGGATATTTATTCCCGTTTTCTTGGAGATTTGACGAGGGCTCGTATAGCGCTAGAAAACGCGCACAGCGCAAATTCAGAAAATGGGGAGCCGGGGGAGAGCGTAAGGGTTATTCTCCCCCAACGGCTGGAGGAGAGCGTCTCGGCTGCATCGCCACGTGAGCTATTGAAGTGCGTCAGGGTCATTTGCACCTCCGCGGAGGATTGCCAGGTACGCAATCGTGCGAATGACGAGAAGCTTATGACCCTGGCGGAGCAGCGCATGTCCAGCGAGCACGAGGGCTTCTTGAAGGACGTCCCGAAGGAGTTTCTGGAGGAGTTTCTTGGCACTGTGAAGGATCGGCCTCGCGCTCAAAAGGTTGTTCTTGCCTGCACCGGATGAAAAGTGATGGCAGACGCCATGCAATGGCTTTCCTCCTTTTGCCTCTCCCCCCCCCCAAAAAAAAAAAAAAAAAAAAAAAAAGAAAATAAAATGATTCAGGAAATTGGAGAAACGCTCGTAAATAAATAAATGCTCGAAAGTATTCAAGAAGAGAAAGACGGAATTATCGTCAAATGCGCCATAAGGAAGACTTAGTTTAAACCAACTACACATGAAGGGAGGGAAGTGGATGGGAATGAAGCGAATTTATCGGCTGCACGGGGGCAAGCCACATTAGGAACCCACGGAGAGGGCCACCTGACGCCTTTCTTCACATTTTATAGTTTGCAATGAATGAAAAAAACGTCAACTTCTTTTCTTAACCGCTTCTCAAATATCTTTGGGCGTGATGAGCAAAGCCGAATCATCTTCCGAGGGGTTTTTTCTTCCAGTTGTTGCAACGTTTACAATGACTTCTACAGCTGTATTTCGGATGTTTATTGTAATTTCCTTTAAAAAAAGTACACACAAGGAAGGGCAGAGTTTTTTTTTTGTAGGGTGCCGAATGTCCGGCCTCTGGAGCTTCCGAGAAACGGCTGCTCCACTGCCCTGCCTGAGTGATGCCGCAAGAGCATCTCTCCCCACCGCGGCTATCGATGATTTCATAGAACACGCGGCCGTTGGGGTAACTGACACCTCAATGGAGGACCCCGTGAGGGTTTTTGGCCTGGTAAATGATGTGGATGTGGCTGTTCAGGAGCTACAGAACGCGTGGCTTGAGCGCATTGTGGGTCATGAGCAGGCATCCCCTTATCACCTGCGGCTCTCCCACCAGGAAGTTTCGGGCGCGGTAACTTCACAAACCGAAAACCGTGTCTCCACGGCAGACGGATATGAGCCCCTATCTCCTGAAGAGATGGCAGTCGTGAAGAGTGTGCTCAAAATGCCGGGGAAAAGCAATGAAAGGAAAGCCACTAGTCGTGTACGGCGGCGAGGTCCCACCGTGCCCAGAGCACCCGTGCTGCATGCCACAGCCTTAGTGTCACAGCGAAAGGAACGGCAAACGTTCAGTGGGGCAAATGCCGCTGAGGGCACTGGGATGGCGGTGCAAAAACCAATTGATCATCCAATTGACAGTTACGAACAGAAGGAGAAGAGTTTGCTTCACAGGGATTGCAGTGAAAAACGCACATCAAACTTGACGAGACATGTTTCTCAGATGCTTCACTGCACCTTTTTAGAGCGTATGCAAAGACGAGCTGAAAAACGGCGTCTGGCTCGGTCGGCACTGCGCACTTCACGGTTGCCTGACAGCGCGAATGGTGAATTGTCTACCGCGCAAAATGTTCCATCGGACAAGTCGAGGAAAAAACAACCGAATTTACAGTACGATGCCTTGCCGCTGGAGATCCAGGTTGCTCTTTTATCACTCGAGGGAACCCGCAACACGGACGGCGAACTGAATCGCTATTTTCAATATGAAGCCATTGCAACTCGGTGGCATTCTGCTCATCTAAATAAAAAGGCATGGGAATGCTGGCGTAAAAGACAACGCATTCGGACCGACGGGAGTGAACACAACGTAGCCACTGATGCGGCAAGCAGTGCTGCTGGTGCCTGTTCTTTGCTTCAGGCTAATTGGGGATCGAATCTCGGACCACCGCCCCACGCAGAGCTTGCGAAGCTTGACGCAAACAAAATGCGAATTCTTCGGTGGTATTTTGTTCTTTGGGTTGCATTCTTGGAGACTGCACGTGACGGGGGCGTAAATCTGGGAATATCTGCGGGGGGTGCGTAAATCTGCAAAAGGGATGCTAGATTATGCCAAACTCCTCCCTCTTTTCTTTGTTGCTATTGATGATAGCATGTGAGAAACCCCGTTTCTTATATGTATATACTTTTTATGCCATTTACATATGTACTGCGTGTGTGTTTCTTTTCAATTTTTTATTTTTATTTTATTTTGATGAGCGTCAAGAAATTCGGGAGGAAATCAGAAGGACGGCAAAACAACGAAAAAAGAATAAATTAGAAGTTCGGCGCTCTGTGTGTGTGTGTGTGTGTGTGTGCTGCGAAACCGGCGAGTCCAGTTTGTTTTTCAAAAAAACAATATAATCAGCATTGGCAAATACACTCAACACCAACACCAACATCAGTAACAACAGCAGCACCAGAAAAAATAAAAAACAACAAACAGCAGGCAACAGGACAGATGTCCGTTGAATACTCGGGCTATCTTCAGAAGACGGGTGGGAAATTCTACAAAAAGAACCAGACCCGCTATTTTGAGCTCCGTGGCCCTATGCTGTGCTACTGGAAGAGGCGTCCCTCTGGACCCCACGTTTCTCCAACGGGCACCATCGATCTTACCAACGCTCGCTTCGTCGAGAACCCAAAGGACCCTAGATCATGGACAATTGAGGGGGACCACCTCTCCAAGACGTTCACGCTTACTGCTGACACAGAGGAGCAGAGGGAAGCGTGGGTAAGGGAGATGTCGAAGGTGAAACCGGAAAATAGGGAACAGCCCAGTACGGCGGTTCAAAGCAGTGGTGACGTTCATGCAGTCACTTTGTATACTGGGGGACGTCACAAAGTTTCCCTGGATGACTTTGAACTTAAAGCTACCATTGGGGCTGGTTCATTCAGCAATGTGTTTGTGGCTCGCGAAAAGAGCACGGACAAAGTGTATGCTATAAAAGAAATGGGGAAGGAACTTATTCAGCAACACAATATGCTTTCAAATATTGCCGCAGAAAAACACATCCTACAAACGATCAGTCACCCCTTTATTGTGTCACTCCATTACGCCTTTGAGACGAAGAAATGCTTGTACCTTGTGCTTGACTTTCTGCCCGGTGGGGAACTATTTTTTCATCTTGCCAAGGAGAAGGTGTTTGACGAGTATCGTGCTAAGTTTTACTGCGGGGAAATAGCTCTGGCAATCGGATACCTGCACAGTCTTGACATCATCTTTCGTGACCTTAAGCCGGAGAATATTGTACTGGACGAGGACGGTCACGCATGCCTCACAGACTTTGGATTGGCTAAAATGAATGTCAGTAATGCCAGCAATTTCACTTTCTGTGGCACAACTGAATACATAGCGCCTGAGTTTCTCCTGGGACAGCCGCACGGGCGGGCAGTTGATTGGTGGGCTCTGGGTATTTTACTGTATGAGATGATAGAAGGCATTCCGCCCTTTTTCAATGAAAACTCCAACGAAATGTACGAGGAGATTCTCAAGGGGGAGTTGAAGTTTGGCGACGTCGGTGGCGAAGAGAGTGGCCTGCCTGTAATATCGGAGAACGCAAAGGCCCTCCTCCGCAGACTTTTAGATCGCAATCCCCAGACACGCCTTCAGGATTTGGAGGAATTCAAAAAACATCCTTTTTTTGAGGATATTGACTGGGTGAAGCTCAGTCGGCGGGAGATTCAACCGCCATTCCGCCCTAGTAGCAATATATTGTGCAACTTTGACGAGGATTTTACTTCCAAGGAACCCCGGGCGGGTTTTCAAGAGGAGGATGGGGGTGAACACGGCAATATTGCCTGCTTTTCCTTTGATGGACAAATGGGTCCTGCTTAGGCGCTGAATTGCTCGAGGATGTATTATTTATTTATTTATATTTGTTTTTGGTTCTTGTTTTTGTGGTACAGTGGTGATTTCCATGTAGGATCGGGCGTGCGCACGAGCCTACTGATCTGCGGTGAACGCTGGTAACCTGAAGAAAATCTCGAACGAAGAAATGGAGAGGAAAGCGAGAAGACAAAGTGGGGAGATCATGGATGCGATATCCATTTATATACATTGCACAAGACACACACCCCTGCTCTCTATGCTGGAGCATATACATATATGCATATATACATGAAGACCTTCCATTCACCAATACCATCACGACCACCAGAGGCAGCAACAGCAAAAAAAAAAAAAGGGAAAAGAAAAATGAACCGGAGGGTTCCTGTGGATTGTCTTGCATGCCGTTTTATGCCCAACTTCAACTTTTGCCATCGTTTTCTTTTTCTGGAATTATCAAACTGTTTTTTTTTTTTTTTTTTTTTTGGGAGGGGGGTTACGCAATTTATCTCTTTTTTCTTTGTTCTTTTTCATGCGTACGGCAGTTTCTGTGTAGGTAGTTTTGCATTTCTGCCCTTTATGCGCTCAGCGTGACACGCGCCCTGTGGAGTGCGCCACAGGGAAGAGGGGCACGACGAGAGGCGAGCGAGAAGAGGGGGATTGGAGCGTCGCTGGACGGTAGTTTCAAATGCATTTCTCTTCTTTCTCCTTTCCTCACATTTGTTGACTCCACGACTAGTGCTGTGGCATGATGCGCGTGTTATTTTGGTTCTTTTGCCTTGCGTGCAGGCGGATCTCATGCTCGTCTCTAACCAGTGTGCGTGCCTGCGTCCCAATGGCTGACCCGCGGGAACTGCCCCGCCTCTGTGCCGCTGGGTCGGCAGGGCGAGAAGTATACGCGTCATTTAAGGCGTACATGCACATGCATTTGCACACACACAAAAACACACACGCTGTCCAATGCACGTTCGCTTGTCATTGTCGCAACCGTCTGTGCTCCTTTTCTTTACTTTTTATTTATTTCTTCCTTTGCGCATTTCTTGTGTTTACTGAGAGAGCAATACGTTGATAGGTGGTGCAACCGGTGAAGAGGAAAAAAAGTGGCAAATATCATCGCAAAGCCATTCAAAAGAAAAAGAAGGAGAAATACAAACAAACAAAAAAAACAAATAGGAGGTGTTGCCCAAGATGTCCATGAGAGGCTCTGCTACAATAACTCTTATAGCTGCGGGGCTCTTGGCGTTTCTCACGGCTACATCCTGCGTCTTCGTTGTTTGTGCCCAGGAGACCCTGAGTATTGCAGGGAGTGTTTCGGTGGCATTAAATGCCAGCCAGTACATAGATGTGCAAGTAGTACACGGTTCCACTGGGGCTGTTTTCCGTTCCCAGCCGTTGGACGCCACGCGCAGCTTTTCCTTCACCGGCCTTCCACTGACGGTCAATGAGGTTCGTCTTTTTCTGCGACTTCCGGAGCGGCGGTTTCGTCTTGATCGTGCGGCGTCTTCCCTTTCGGCCCGTATCCCAAATGTTGCTAGTGGCGATGATGTTGCATGGCTGCACTTGACTGCGGCAGTGGAGGAGGTTAGCAATGCTGTGCCAGAGAAGCGACCGCAAGGAGGGAGCGTGCTGACGGCTGTCGTC